GGTAAAGACGTGGGAGACAGAAAATACGATGAGCAATGAAAGAAAAGCAATAATTTTTCTTTAACAATCTTTACAGCATTCAAAACAAGCCATTTCTGATTTATGTTCGAGTACAAATAATCATTGCTCTTAAACATAGACGTGATGCATCACACAAATTCTGTGGTTGTACAGAGCAAATAGATGACTGTGTCGTTTTAGGCATGTAAACTGAACATTTAGCGATATTATCAAAGACTTTCTCGTAGCACTATATGTATATGGTCGCTTTCGTATATAAAATAGCAAATGAGCTGTATGAAGATGAAGAGGATAATCCGTCAAATCTTGATCATAATGTTGCATTTGTAGTACCCAGGTCAACAAATCTGATCGGATCCGAGACCGTCGGAATCCAATGCGATTCCGTCACCAGAATTTCATCGATCAAGATAAGGTCGCATTATTAAAAGAAATCAGATTTGAGTATTCAATGCAGATATGGTTCTGGTTGTGTCAAAAAGATTAACTGCAGAAAAGATCGACCCATCATGAAAGAATCAATTGGAATATCTGCAGTATATGTGTCTAGAGAAGAAAAAATTATTTTTTTGCTCGTATGTTCATACTTCATTAAGGATTAAAAAATAGGTGGAAGGTGGCGATATTTATTCACACTGAAACCTGACCGAAAAGCGATCGGTGAACTGTTTTTATGATTATCATGTTACAAGTTGAAACTGTTGAAACGCAGCTGTTTTTCTTAAACTACTTTTGTGAATGAAATTTCAGATATACATATGTATATCAGATATGCGATCTTTTCTCTTTCTATCAGCTTGTCCTTATATCCGATTAGACATTTAGCGTCAGAACGAAGATTCTCGGAGCATTGATTCATTTAAATATTTATAAGATTATCTTTGACGGTCATGTCGAAACGAGTTGTCGATGGTATGTAGTTCTATTATGTTTGACATTTCCATCCTTCCTGAAATATAGAGAAGACATCTTCCGTACAGAAGACTTAACTCGGTATCTTTAATAATCATCCGTACGTTATATATTTTCTCAAAACTATAATTGAATGATGGACAAACAAAAGTGTCATATCTTCATTGTCTTGTAGATTTATCCCAAATGGATCAAATCAGTAAATCGCGCATAACGAGATGATTAAATAGACATGTTTATATATGAAAATAATGTTGACAATAAAGAAAAGCAAGAGAGAAAAAGGGTAGACACCAGTGTTTCAATTATTTTACATATAGAAAATGTCGGTCAGCACGAAATGTTAAGAATCAACAGGCGATACATTGGCTTGCTCAGCAATTCGTGGAGCTTGTCGGCGAGTTACGGTTGTTTGCATTACATGGACTTGTCGGTGTTGCTTCCAAAACAACAATTTTTGTTTTGCTTTATTCCGCAATTCCGGCAATGATGAACAGGTAACAAAAGGAAAGAGAAAGGTAATGTCATACCAAAGAAATTTTGCATAAACCATACCGTATACTGCAACATTTCCTGGTAAACCAAACTGGTATGCCAATATTATTCCAACCCATGGTGCATTAAATAACAAGTAAATGATTGACGTCGATATTAATTGAATTAGCATTTTACGCTGTTTTCGCCAATCAATTATCCGATGTGCACGAGTTTTTTGCCATTGGACACGAAGAATAAGAGCCACACTTGATATTAATATTGTTAAAGTTGGAATCAGTTGATGAGCTATGAGATCCCATGTTCCTAATGGTGTTCTCGTAAATGCACATGGAGCATAGAGACCTCCATTAAGAAACGCATCAAATATTGCATCACAAGAAATGCCAAAGTAAACTATGATATGATAAGTTAACGAATAACTGATAATGAATATGATTGGAAAATAATGAAAAAGAAAACGTTTTTTGCTTGTACCTAACCATCGATCATAAAATATAAGAATGTGTCGCTCGACTGTAGCCCAACTAAATAAACCAATTTGCAATGAATAAAGGAAATATTCGAGAAAAGCCCAAAACAAATAGAAATCGTATGGTGCTTGCCAAGGCGTTGTAGTTGCATCATTACGAATAAAACATGGTACAGTAAATATTTCATCAATCAAGCAAATAAAAAGCAAAACAATAAATATGTGATTATGAAATGCACGTCGAAGTGTACGATCGAAAAGTAGAAAATAAAGATTAAATAGAGTGGTACTCAAAGATAAGATATCCCAACATAAGAAATACCAAAAACGAACCACTTGAGGAACTCGAATTGTTGCCGCAGCATTTAACGAATCACTTGACGTACTATTAATGATATCCGACATTATTTGTAAGATTCTTCGTACGATTGTATCTGGAATATTGACTGAAAATGTTTAAAGTCAGACAGCAATATATGGTGTGGCATATAAGATGAGAGGAAACTATCTATTAATATCTACTTTCCCATTTTCTCTTGTTTCTTAAAATTATTTCCTTGATTTACTTTTTCTCTTTTATACTCAAAAAGCTTAAATTTTATTGTATACAGGTTAGCGACAAATACGAAGTAATCATTTCACGGAGGAAATCTATCGGAAAATTGAAGAAAGAAACGAGACTGGACATCAGACATACATCAGGCAGACATCTTTTTTCTTCTTCTTCCTCTCCAGCTATCTTTCCACCTTGCTGATCTTCTCTGAGTAGTTTAGAAATCGTTAACTCGATTTGAGTATTAAACGAATCCTTAGAAGTCGAAGCTGCGAGTTTAAAACTTTTAACCTCATAACAAATTGATTATTAACCATCAAGTAACTAATTACTAATTATCAACTAACGCACCATAAAGTAATCATTAACTAATTATTAAGTATTATCTAATCGATTATTAACTACGTGATTATGAATTGTTAATTAACTAGTTATTATGCATCATCTTGAAGTTGAGGGTGACTTTGCTCTCGTGAGCTGCGCCCTCACTTTGCTCATTCTTAATACTGAATAAAAAATTAGATAATAAATAATCATCAGCTAGTTAACATTTGGTTAGTGAATATTTAATAGCCAACTAGTTAATAGTTGAAAACTCGTAGCTTCGAGTTCTAGATTTATAAGTTTAAATTTAATACTCGAATTTTCTTTTCGACTTATACATGTATGCGTGATGATGGGTTTAAACATACACATCATCATGCATTGATTTCAGCAATGAAAGATGAGATGAAAGTGTATTCATTCAAATATTACGCCTATGCTTATAAATCTCACTAAATGGTTTATTTATTTGTGCAGCGGAGGTATTAGTCTCATATTCCTAGATTTCTTACGACCAATTTTAGTGTTTCATGTGCTGTTAAGGCGTCCATTCGAATTGAGAATTGTATGACTTATCACATATTTAGGCATCATTCGAATATTACGGTGACCGGAGACTCTAGTTGATACAAGCGTTGTTGTGTTATCAGTGTTGCCTTTACCATTTTTGATCTTTTGTTTTGAGATGTGAATTAGTATTATAGCTTTGCTCATGAAGTTACTGATTTGAGCTGCAAGAGGAAAGCAGGAATCTTCATGGTGAAACCTTCGACTTCTATAATTTTCGTAAAGCGGGCGTTCACGCTTAAAAAGTGATACTTTTGAATGATTACACGCGTGTGAAAGTGAGTGGTCGTGTAAATGCAGACCTCTCTAGTTAGTGTGGTTCAGTTAAAATTTCTGATTATTGGACGTTTTCACGTCACATTTTGAATGTTTGTTTGCGGTAACACGCGCTTATTTTCCGAGAACCATATCGTTATCATGTCGATATTCTGAACGGTGGAAGAATTTCTACGGTTTTCGCGAAACTTATTTACAACGGCTTTGGTTTCCTATCGGGACCAGAATTGACATCCAAAAACGGAAAGACTTTGTGTGGTGTTTTCACGCGTATTTGGCAGTTCTTGACGGCAGTTGAAAGCTTTTTGTTGCTTTCCTCAAAAAATAAACGTTACTATGAAATTTTTGATACAATGTGATATGTAGTGGTCATTGATAGAAGTAATCAAGGAATAAAATATGCCTTAACGAAATGATTAGTACAATTTAGTAGGCGGCGTACTCCAAATTTAAGCACCATAAAATCTTCAATTGTTGATGAGCAGTATCACTAGACAATTTGAAAAGAGCTTCACTTTTCAAATAGCGACACGATGTTGTCCAAATATCTTTATTTCTGATTTTTCATTGAAAGCAGTGTTTCGAGAGGGCAGCTATATTGGCAAGTGTCGTAACATGGCTTTCCTGGAATCAATCACTCAACAAAGTGTTTTACTAAGCAATATCAATATCATATTGTTCAAAGTGATCTAAACCCAGGTCAACAAATCTGATGCTGGATCTGATCGGATCTGACACCGTCGGACCCGTCGAATTCCTATAGAATCTGATAAAATCCTATATTGGATCCGACGGAATCCGAGTATGGATTGTTCGACCTGGGAAGCTCGTAAATTGATTCAGGCAAAAGTGCATTAGCATCGAAGAGACACAGTTTAACGTATATTCTCAATGCTTATCTCATCGTAGATTTAGTTTGCCGGTTTCTTAATTCATTTCCTTTTTTCTGGATGGAAAAGGGAGAAAGGCAAGCGATATACAGTAAAATATTATACTTCTGAAGAAAACACACACCACACTCTATCTCTATGTCAGAGTACCGTCGTCTGTCATATATATGAATATATTTTATTTGCCTGTTGGCTATTAAACTATGTTCCGCTCGGCATTTACCGAGACACTCTAATAGTAAGGGGCAGGGTAATTCACAGGAGGCTTCCACAATATCTGTGAAGATTATATATACCGGTCGATACGTGAAAGTATGACGAATACCTGTAGTCTACTAGAACTTATCGGACTCATGACTTTTTTTCCTGAACACATGTAAATATGAGTATGGCCGAAAGTTTAATATCGATACATGGAAGAATCTTGTTATAAAAAAATATCGTCTTTCGCAAAATCAGATTGAGTATGAAAAGTAAGCTGACTCAAATATGCTAACTGGTTTTCACCTACCACACCTTAATAATTACTCCATATCCTTTAGTCTCAAGGACTCTCAAATAGAAACTACTACGTTCAATAGTACAAATAACACTCATACTTGTATTCCAATACGTGCATTTTCTGCTTATACTTAGCGTTTTTTATTTGACGACAAAGACAAACGAAAAGATGATATAGAAAAATATATGCAGAAGACTATGGTGATCGTCTGAGTGCTTATTTCGGCATCAAACAAAGTAACTACATATGAAGAATATGTAATACTTAACATATTTGATAAAGAGAAAAATACTATTCTATATTCTTGTTAACTTTCCTATTGTAATAAAAATTCAATAGTAGCATGTCACTCACGCATAATCTACTCATTATCCAATCGTGAAGCTAACAGGACTGAACATTTTCTACCGTGATTTGTGCAGCATAAACTTACAAGTAACGCGGCGTAGTGGCCGCTAAACCCTCTACTGAAAGGATAGTATTAGAGCGCTACTCTTCGTCCGAAGAGAAAAAAAAGTTATTTCAGTTGAACGATCTGATCATTTGATAATTTGTCAGAATGTTTTACCTAGACCAATTTCGCTTCCTAAAATCTTCTGTAATTATAACGCCTATTCGTTTGTCGGCCTCTCTCCGGCGAACCACTCACCGCTAGCCGTCGCTACCTAATAAGTGTTTAATGATATTTTCATATTAAAAAGCACCTCGTTCTTGTCGAGTCCGTCTCTAGCAAAGTTGCCGAAATTCTTCACAACTTCGTGACCTACAGTATATCTTTTATTATCATTTTTAGTTGAATAAGTCGATGATCTACATAGTTTTTTCTTGAAGCTCAAAAAGATGTC